TTCAAAGCTCTCACCTGGACAAGCGAAGCCTCTTATAGATGCTAGAAAATACCAAAGATTGGTTAGTAAACTTAACTATCTCACCATTACACAACCTGATATTTCCTTATCCGTCAGTGTTGTTAGTTAGTTTCTACAGTCTCTTTGTGACAGTCATTGGGATGCAGTATTTAGATTTTAAGATATATCAAGGGCACACCAGGTAAAGGACTATTATATGAAAACAGGAGTCATACATAGATTGTCAGATATTCTGATGCTGGCTGGGCAAGTTCTCTATCTGATAGACATTCCACTTTAGGTTTTTGTATTCTTGTGGGAGGAGACCTTGTATCTTGGAAAAGTAAGAAGCAAGATGTCGTTGCCAGATCGAGTGCAGAAGCAGAATACCGTGCAGTGGCTCTAGCAACTTCTGAGCTCATTTGGTTGAAGCAACTAATCCATGAATTGAAGTTTACAGAAATAGTAAAGATGAAGTTACTTTGTGATAATCAAGCTGCTCTCCATATTGCCTCCAACCTTATGTTTCACGAGAAGACTAAGGATATAGAAATTGACTGTCATTTTATCTGATTGTATCACCACCAGTCATATAAGCTTAAATGATCAGCTAGCAAATATCCTTACTAAATCACTTAGAGGTCTTCGTATTGACTTTATTTGTAACAAGTTTGGTGCATATAATTTATATGCCCCAGCTTGAAGAGTGTTGAGTTGTACAAATATGTTAAGTTGTACAAATCAAATGTTTTAGGAATAGGATCTTTAGAATAGGAAATTAGATCAACCCTTTCCTAGTTTAAATTATTTCATTTCCTTATATGGACTGTTGAATGTGTATATATTGTTGTATTTTGTTCACAATCTACATGAAGAAAATTCTTCTGATTTTCACAATTCGTAACTCATTATTCAGGGGACCGAGTTCGTTCTGGCCTCCTAAGCATATTGCTCGTGGGCTCACCTTGAGCTTCCCGCTATATCTGATCCTCTGTAGATCATATTCATGAAGACCTCGTTAGGGTTTGACGAAGCCTGTTGAGCCGGGGTCTGTATCTGGCCTAGGACTTGGTTACTTTGCTCGTCAGGATTCTCTCGAGTTGATTTTGCCTTAACAAATTCTTTCAAATGACCTCTTCTTATCAAGTTCTCGATGACATCTTTCAAAGCTCGGCAATTATTCGTATTGAGCCCGACATCCCTATGATACCAGTAATATTTTTGCCGATCTCTTCTTCTTGGAGCCCCCCTTATTCTTTCCGGAGCGGGCAACCTCTTCGCCTCTCACGAAACCTCATAGATGTGGGTGATGTCTTAAGTAAAAGGGATGTACTCTGTATACCGTGGGAAAGGCTGCCTATCTCCACGGCTATCTACTCTTTGTTTCTTTGGGAATTTGTTACGATCCCTGTTGCTGCGATCTTAGCCTCCACGCTTATCCGAGAGGCGATCTTGTCTCCTGTCCGGGGCCCCCCGCGTCGAGTTCCAGGCTAGTGTAGCTAACAAGCTTTATACTCGTTGGTATTTTGCGGCTATCTAGTATAATTTGGCCAAGCTTACATGGTCTTCGCTCTGGAGCTCTTTCCACAACTCCGTGTTAGGTCTAATCCTTGCGATCAAAAGAGTCTAAATGGATTCTTCGAAGGCCTCAGCGACCTTTGCCTACTCGTTTTGGAACCTCGTTAAATACGAGATTAGCGATTCGTCTCGGTCTTGGCAAATATTGCTCAAATAGCTGAGTAGCATTACGAACTGTCTCCTTGCCTGAAACTGCTATAGATATGGCGCAAAGAACTATTGCCAAGAATTGATGGAGTTCGCCTTGAGCTGTTTGTACCACCCTTGGCATCTCCGACTAATGTGACTGCGAAGCACCAACATTTCGCTAAGTCATTGACCTGGTAAAGCTCCATCAGGTCATTAAAGTTATCGAGGTGATCTCTGGGGTCCCTCCTCCTGTCGAACTTGTTTTCTGATGCCTTGAATCCTTGTCGGAGCGAGGCCTGGCGAACTTCCTCCATAAAAAGGAACTTACTATTTCTTCCGCTAGGTTGTTCTGGCGAGCTTTCAGATCGTCAAGCATCATTTGCATGCGATCTAAGTCTTTATTTGGGTTCCCCTAGTTAGCTCTATTAAGTTGTACCTCGAGCAAATGGGTTCGCAAGTCTATCGCTTACGAAGCTCCTCCAATATGCGCATTGATACACGATGTCGAGTCATGATGGCTGGGTTGGTAGGTGCTATCATGCTCGTAAGTGCGTTGCTCGCAACGTCGATCATAACTGGAACGGCAGTCATTGGCAGATTGACGCACATGGCTCGCTTCGCAAGCCTGCAAAGATCGATCTTGTCTTGGGTGTGGGTTAAAATCGGCACGTTAACGCTAAGGATACAGCCGAGCTTTTCAATGGTGTCCGTCGCCTTTGCTTTCCCTCAACGGCTGCTTTCTCGGTCGCCTCCTAGGATTTGTTTGCCCGCAAGACTCTCGCTCGTGCATGAAGAGTTGCCTGCAAGGTTAGCAATGTTGATCGCCCCCTGGCGACGACGAAACGGACTGTCAACCTATCGAATTCATATCTGTTAGGGTAACGTTAGTGAAGCACGGCTGGTCGGGATTATGGGTGACTGGTTGTTGGTTCTTCAACTCAACCACGTTCACCTGTGCAACCATTGTTCTGATCATCTCCATCAGCTGGCCGTTCTCTGGATTTAATGTCTCTGCCCCTGATTGTTTACGACATGTTGAGCTAGCAGCACAGGTGGTCGACGTCCAACGTTCTCCTGTTACACCTCCTAGTAAGCAGTTTCCACGTTCTCGTGATTTCTGGTGGTAGTTCTTAATCTGGTGAACACCATTTGGGTCTGGGACGACCCGGATGGGTAAATCACGATGAACGTTTGTCGGGATCTTTGAAATAGTGGCAGAGGTTTAGGCCCTCCTTCTAGCGCCAAAATGTTAATATAAAAATCTGTATCCATTAGCGAGATTCGATCAATCTTGTCAAGATCGAAACTGATGTTTGCGTGATTACGGATAATGTTAGGTTAACTGCCTACGTCCACTGTGTTTTGTGTATATGCTGTGAGAGCTTACAATGTAATTTTAATTCAGAATTCGTATCCCCCTCCTCATCGTTTTAAAGGGTTTATATACAATATTTACATAAAGGAAAGAGCGAAATTAAGGGGATTACAAAGGATTTGAATCACAATTCCGATATCCTTGCGATTGAGTGCTATGATCGCGTAACAATAATTGTTGATCCAATCATTTCCGCAATATCCAGGATCTGAAGTAATCTAGGGATTGATTGATTAATTCCTAGGATTGTCCGCAATTAGCTTGTGCTGGGTCGAGCTACGGCTCAACAAGCTTATGCTGGGTCGATCAATCATAGTTGTCGAGATCATTCTAGGCCAAGCTATATCCTCGCATTAGCCCGAGCTTGGCGGAAAAACCACACACAACAGACACTATCCAAAGAATTAACTGAGCAACATCCATGCAACTCAAATTTAGAAATGATAAGAGCAAAGTTCGCAATATTGTCCTGTTAATGATAATAATGAATAAGCACAAGCAGTCAACTACAATGTGAGAAGAAATTAACCGAAAATCATCAGTTTTGCCTAGACTTGGCAAACGGGTGGATATGGGTACGGGTTCATAGGTAAAAAAATTTCACGGGTTTGAAAATGCATGATTCGTACCCGCCCATGGAGGTACAGGTCGACCCGCGGGTCATCCGCGAAAAAAAAAATCATATGAAAGAAGACAATCTATAGGTTTTATATTTGCGTGAAAGGTCCATCATTAAGGCAAAGTGCCTGTAATAATTAAGTACTTGTTCAGTGGAAAGGTGGCACGACATTTTTTTGTCTTCTGAAGCGATTTTTTGGCATGGAATCTGAGGAAGAAGATGGCGAATATTAGTGCTACTGCTAAAGCTGCCGCTGTGAGAGGGATGAAGTAGGAGGAAAACTCATTTATGACCACGAAAGCCTTACATTAAAATAGTAATATTATTAACCCCACTCCAAGAAATAATTATTACTAAAATCTATGACCTCGTGCCAAGAGTTGATGAAGCCTCTTGAATATTTATCATTTATTTATTTTTTAATAAATGATAAACATTCAAGTTAAACTGAGAGCTGAAGAAAGAGAGGGAGATTGAAAGTTGCGCCGTGACCGTGAGAGAGAAGACGAGTTGAGCGTGAGAGAGAGAGATGAAGAGCTGCGTGAGAGAGATTGAGAGTTGAGCGTGAGAGAGATGGAGAGCTGCAGGAGAGAGATTGAGAGCTGAGCGTGAGAGAGATGAAGATTTACGGACGGGTCAGATACGGGTAATTTTGAAACGGTAATATTTAGAGATATTCGCACCCATCCGTTAGATGCGGGTACCCGTCTACCCGCGAGCACGGGTCCTCTTTGTCTAGTTTTGCCTAATGAAGTTTAATATCTACGGAATTTATGACACAAGAACTCAACATGTCATTTAATTTACTACCAAAAACACATGATTTAGAGAATGAATCTCTTTCAAACAAGGATAACACGTGATTAAAAAGATAAATATCTTTAACACAAAGAAAACACATGCTGAAAATAATGCAAAACTGTCTAAATAGCAATTATTTAATCAACAACTCTGCGACAAATCAAGGGTAGATACACGATAAAAATCTTCCCCTAGATTTACAAGCATCATAAACCCAAATAATTATTGAATGAAAACGAAAGATTAACGTATCCCATTAATATCCAAAACACACAAATCGAATCAGATGCAAACAAGAGCGAATGGAAAAAGAAAAACCCTAATTTAAGGAATATTACCAAAATACGTCATAAGAAAAATTATCAAATGTCAAAAAACTTAAACACTAAAAGTCAAGATTCAGTTCAAATCATAGCAACATTACCAAGATTGACAAACATACCAACTAAGACTCTAGGAAATGAAATTAAACGAGAATAAAGATAACAAGAAAGTTACCCTCACAACAGCAGTAACGTCCCTTAGAGGCCTCCTCGGGTACCAAGCAGGTAACACAGAAGATCCTCTCCGAACACTTCCTATCTGCGTATTCTCTCTTCCCATTGGTCCACCTGTCGCCGATGTACATCCGTACAAATTTCTTCTTCCACGACCGAACGCGCTTCTCGGGGTCCCCAACCCACCACCTCTTCCTCCACCTATCGATTGTCCACGCGCCGCCGCCGTATTAGCCTCTCGAGTGACTGAAGATTCCAAAAGATTTGAACTCTATTCTGGTTCATCTCTAAGGATTCCGAGAGTTCCAGACCTTCTCTGACTCTGAGTGTAGAGGGTCGCAAAATCAACTACCGTCACTAGTCTTCCATGTGACTTCGCCATTTTTTTGCTTGTTGATTTCTTTTGAAAAGATTTATTTATTTATTTATTTTTAAAAATCAAATTAGGATTCCAAACATTATTCTTGCAACAGAAATTACCTTGAAGGGGACAAATGAAAGAGATAGAAGGGAGAACAAAATAAAGAAGAGAATTTGCGTGTGATGAAGATTGAGGAGAAGTGAGCGGTATTTAAAAATTTTAAAACTTTCAGCACGTGCGAGCGAGGATGTTTTGAATTTCAAATTTTGTGCTCGGTAATGACTTTGTTACCCCTTTATTTGTTTTTCATTGTTTATACGTTTATGTGTTGGTTTAAAATTTTAAGACAAAATTATTATTCAATTAGGAAAACAATCTAATGCTTCGGGGACTTGAGTAATTAATTTTCTGGACAGAATCGATGCAGTAGAAGCAATACCTATGATATAAGTTTCTGAGAAAATGCAGGAATAACAGCCAGATTTTACTTCAGTAATAAATTATAGTCAACTTGGCTTTTGAGGCCCGAAAAAGATGTCAAAAATGCTAAAAACAACTGGGAATACGTGGTTTTCTGCTGGGTCAAATCCAATTTGGGTTATAAAGAACCCAACCTCAGTCCAGACTCCACACCTGATGTAATTGACCATTTCAGTTCTTAGAATTTGTGCAGCTCATTCAACAGAAATAACTATCCATAAGTTGTATTGTTGTCGATTAAAGACTTGCATATCTAGCTTAATACTTACAAGTACAACAAGTGAAATTGATCATGAGTTACTACTGCATGTCCATTGACCATATTGATAGGTGAAATATGGCAGTCGATTGTGTTCACAAGACAAGAGTCTCATCGCCATCCAAACCATATTTGGCCAACATCAACTCCTGCTTTCAAACAGTGAAGGCCGTTATAATACTAATACCTTTCCAACACTTGAATCACTTCCCAAATCTTTTATTACCGAATAATACACAACTTTAGGACGCAAACATCCAAAAGACAATTGTACACAACTTCATCCAGTTTTAGATACTGTACCTGTTGTTCCTCTCCCTTTTTTTTTTTTTTTTTCCCTCTCGCATTGAATACTTGTCCAATTTCTGAAAACTCAGGGTCAACAGCTCCATATTCAGTGCCACGAAGAATTCTGCTTGCAAGTGTTTCAGCAATAGACAATGAAACACTAAGAGCTAATCAGAGTATAAGACAACATTATAAGAAGATTCCTCAAGGACAACATTTTTAGGAGATTCCTCAAAGACAGCAACAAGTATAATTTAACACCGGAGATGGAATCACATACCAAGTCACAGAATGACAGAATCATTAATGGTATTTCTCTTCACCTTAAGGATTCAGGAAGCTAAAATGGAAAACATAAAGAAATAGCATTCCCAATGAAAACAAATTAAAGGTGAATGACTGTAAACTATAGAGTGAACTATTAAACTCTAAACTCAAATTCGTTATTCGTATAGAGGTAAGCAGCAAATCTGTGACTGTACCTACAAGTGTAACAATACACAATTATTAACATCCTTCAAGCTACAAGTTATGCTAAAGTGTGCAAGAAAATTACTTGTAAGCCAACACTTTCATAGGACACAAATAAGAACATTGACTTTCTCCCACTGTTTTATGATAACATATAACAACAGCAACTCAGGACAAAAAATCAGGTGCAGGAAACCTGAAGATATTAAAGGTTTTGCTGCATTGCCATAGAACTTCAGAAGGCAAAACTGTATTTTCAACCCACACCTTAATTCAAGAGGTTTCAGCGATTTGGGAAAACTTTTATACATTCAGAAGACCTTGGTATGGAGTTTCATCTTTTCTTTTGCTACTATTTATGTGTTTACTCTCACCTTATTTCTTATCTTTTACTACCGAATAATTTACATTGTCGTTAGAAAACTCTGAGTTGAGCAACTCCAAGTGCCATGAAGAATTTTGCTTGTAAATGTTCCAGCAGGAGACAATGAAACATTATGAGCAAATCAGATAACTTCATCAGTAAGACAGAATGCCTCAAAGGCAGCTACACAAAAAATTTAAACTCCCAAAGATGCAACACCTTATTTAGAAACAAAATCACAACAGTCTTTCCCTTCTTGTGGGAATTAATGTATTTATCATTTTCATTTATTATGCAACATTCATATTATAGCAAATGATCCAGGATGGCAAAATGGAAAACGTAAAGAAATATCATTCTCAATTAAAACAAACAGAATTGCATGACTGTAAGCTGTACAAGGAATTAATTTATTCTAAACTCAGATTTGTAGCTTCTCTTTGCTAGGAAGCAAAGGAAACACATTTGTGACCGAATCAACAGTTATTGACAAGAATACATTATTTGAGCTATCATACAACAAGAGCATCTAATAACATTAAAAAAAAAAAAAAAAATTCTAATCTCACAAATTCAATGAGCTTTATCAGTAATTATAAATGTGAAGGAGTTGGAATGGAATTACGCTCTACATGAATTCAGAAGGGGAATTGGCATCCGGCTTTCCATTATCGCCCAATCCTCCAGGGTGCTGCAAATTCTGCAAAACCTGAGGCGGCAATGCCCCCAACCCACCACCCAATCCATCATTTGCTGACCCGTAAAACTGACAAACTAGCCTAGCCATTATCCCCAAAATCTGCAACTGATTCTGGCAGGCGTCGGCGTGCATTTGCATCATGGACTTTTCATGTTCAATCTGCAAACTCAACATTCTCTCCCTCCATTCCATCTCCTCCTCCTCCATCTTCTCCTCCATTCTCATTCTCCTCCTCCTCTCTTCATCCAATTCCATCTCTATCCTCACTCTTCTCTCATATTCCCTCCTTGCCCACTTCAACTCCCTCTCCTCCAACTCTGTTTCTCTACTTTCCACTTCCTCTTCTCTCTCATTCTGCCACGTGTCCTTCTTCCACTCCATTTCTCTTCTCTTTTCCTCCCTCTCTATCACACCCTTCTCTCTCACAAACTCTCTTTCACTTCTTTTCTCTTCCCTTCTCACCACAACATCCCTCAAGTCCAAACCTTGTGCCCCAAGCAAACCGAAACCCTTACTTCCTCCAAAACCCTTCTTCCTTTTCCTGTTCTTGACCATACCCACTTCACAAATTTCTCTTTCCATCCCATATTCACTCTCACTCTCAATTGTCTCCTCAACCCCACCACTTTCTTCATCTTCATCCTCCTCCTCCAAATCCTCACTATCAATCCCAACAAACCCCAAATCACAACAATCCTCAAATAAATCACCACCATCAGATTCACTCACCCTCTTCCCCTTAACTTCAACCTCCACATCACCAAAAACCTCCTTATACTTCATGAAATTCTCCCAGTGATTCTCACCATTTTCCAATTAAACTCATCATCAGAAATTCTGATCTTTTGTTTGACACCCAGGTACTGATGCCGCATATTCTGGACTTTGATGGAGACGTCACGCCAGGACCACTTGAAGGGGAAGGTGATGGGGTCTTGAAGATGGTGAGTAGAATTAACGTGGTCCGCAATGGGGCGAAACTTCTTCTCTCGGGTCTTGAGTTTGGAAAGTGTACCGGTGTTGAGGAGATCGGAGTACTTTGACAAAAGGGTCTGTTCTTCTAGCTCAGACCATTTCTTTCGCTTCATTTTTGGGGTTATGGGATGGGTTTTAGTTGCAGAAGAGAGAGGATTGAAGAAAAGTGAAGAGAGTGAAAAAGTGAAGCGATTTTGGTGATGGGTTTGTCTGAATTGTTTCAAGTAGAAGACGGTGTTGAAGACTTTTTACTAGTTCACTGTTGTCAAATTATTATTATTAAAATTTTAAAAAATAAATAAATTCATTTAATGATATTTTAGATATTTGTTTCTTGGTAAATTTCTCATAGGTTAATGAATAATTAATAACTTAGTTTAGGACTAGTTTACAACTGAGTCATACAACCAGATAAAAAACAAAGGATAAAATAGTTATTTTACATGAATTTTATACAATTTTTATTTGGTTGTATGACTCAGTTGCATAACCTAGTTGTAAGCAAAATATTATTATTGAAAATAATCGGTTTTGAACATAATTTTGGAATGTGTTTAGTAAAAGCTATTTTCATAATTGCTCGTAGTTTTCAAAATTTATGATTGTGTGTTTGGTAAATTAGATTTTAAAATTATTGTGTACGTATAATAACCAAAATGGACATTTTATTTCTTAAAATATTTTTATAATTCTAATTTGTATTTTGTTAAGTATATAATAAAAAATTAAAAATATAATTAAAGTTTATGTTAAATAAGTTATTAATTAATTAATAATTAAAAACAAATTAAAAAAAATTGGGATCTAGTTGACGGTGATCAATCGTTGGTCAAAGCCGATCAGCCACCATTGACTGGCGGTTAACATCAGTCAACGGTGAAGCATTAATGTCACAACCAGTCCTATTAAGACCAATAAGAGCCGATCTATTCGAATGTGGCGGAATCACTGGATTCTAACAAATCGACATGCGTCATCAGAATTCACTGGAATATGGCTGCCGTCGTCCACTACAGCAGCCACCGCCAACCAACTGTTTTGTCGCTTCAATTTTATTTATTTCATAAAAAAAATTAAATTATATATTTAAGAGATTAAATTTTTATTTAAATTCTTTGTAAATAAAACTATAATATAAGAGTATATATGTCATTTAAACATACAAAATCAACTTTGAAATAATCAGATTTTGAAAAACTACCTTTTAAAATCCTTTTATAAATCTGGTTATTTTATAATCAGCTTTAAACTTAATCGTTTCAAAAGTTTTTTATCAAATAATTTTATTGTTGTAACTTAAAATAAAATTAATTATTTCTTAAGCTACAATAATCTCAAACACACAATTAATACGTGGAAAATGATAATAAAAGTAAGTAGCAAATAAGAATTAAATGTATGGTTCTTGTTCATCATTTATACACAGTAATTTTAGCATATAAGATTGTATTCCTAATTTAGAATATGAGATAAAAATTAGTTTA